TGTTGTGCTTCTTGTCCCCCAACACCCCAAAGTCCTTCTCCTCAGGGCTGCTCTCAATCCATTCTCTGTCCAGCCAGTAGTTGTGCTTGGGATTGCGCTGACCCATGTGCAGGACCTTGCACTTGGCCTTGCTGAACTTCATGCGGTTTGCACGGGCCACCTCTCAAGCCTGTCAAGGTCCCTATTATTTTAATCATCAGCCATTTAGTTTCTGGATTACACTGTGCAAAGCGCGTTGGCCAAGCCGATAGGCTCCCCTGCCCTGCACCTGCCCGAGAGCGCTCTCCCACATGCCTCTACAAAAGGGATTTGGTCCATGCCTACCCACTGGGAGTGGGGTGCGTTGCTCTGTTGCCACATAGTACCGTTCCAAGTTCTTGCCATCGTTAGCAAGCTATTAATAAATTAAGTCTGAGTGATTCCCAGCGAGACTCGACAGGAGGAGCAAGTATCAGAAGTGTTGTTTTAGTTGCTTGTGTTGGCTTCATACAGAGGAACTATTTGAGCCATATGTTTTGTGCTTAAGCATGCAGCTATGCTTTGTGTTTAAATTCCTGAGCCCTGATCACCCTGACGGGAAACACTTTTAGGTTTTCAAATTGAAGGAAGTATGTGGGTCTACTTCAGGAGTCCTGTCACTGATATGTAATATAATAGAAGGATTTTGAAGAATGTAGTCTGAAGTACACCTAAAATTCCCACTGATACGGTGTGTATGCTTAAAGCTAGTGAAAGCCATTGATTAAATGTTTGCTTGATTGACACTAGACTGGAGGGCTGGGAAAAATCTGCTCTACCTATATGGGTTGTTATTTCTGTGGTGTGGAAGAAAATAGGCAGCTTCTCAGGAACTGTTTTTCCCCTGCTCAGATACTTCAGCTGGATTTAGCACTGGAATTGGTAGTCAAGACTAGTGAAGGTATGAGAAAACCTTTTCCCTGCTTGAGCTATTGCCCATATAAGCAGAACCTTGATAACCAAGCAAATTGAAAAGGCACCTGAATACAGATTGTGAATGTATAGTCACCTTCCAACTGTTTCTTTGCTGAATCCAGGCTGTAGGCTGCCACTTGCCCATCCTTGATTTTTAGTTCCTTGTAGCCAAATTCTTCTGTTACTATGATGTGATAAATTTAGCTGGTTTTGCCATCTTATCTTAAATAATTTCCAAAGTTCTGCAGATGATGCTTCCATTACTTCTTGCTTGCCAGCACCAAAGTATCCAAAAAACAATGTTCTACTCAGTTTAATAATGTTACAGCAAAGCTTGAGTTGAGTGTCCTGGAGATAGAGGGTTGGAGATCCAGAGGACTCAAGTTGTCCCATTTTTCTTCTATGTCCCCATTTAGATGCATTTCTTAGGGAGTGTATGCAAACCAATAAATTGTTGTCTTGAACTTTATTTCTCATGGATTTGGAAGAACAAGAACTATTCTTCACAAAAAGGGCAAAAAGGAGCTGAGGACCAAAATTAGATCTTAATTAAATTGAAGCTTTTATTCATTTTGAGTTAGTGGAATTTGGGGTTTGGGTTTGTTTTGCAGCTCTTTGCTTGTGAGAGATGTTGTCAAAAAGTAAGACTGCTTTGTGGCTTATCTACAGGCTGACCACGACTGGTACATCTTGGGACGTTTGTCCACGTGGGCACATTTGGGCTCTCTTTGATGTAGTGACTGCAGAAAAGGATGCTCTAGGCCAAAGACAGAGTTAGTCTCAACAAAAAGCACTGAGTTCATAAAGGCAGTCCCCATCAGGTTTCAATGACGGACCTTGTCAGGCAGCTCAAGAGGGCACTAAGTGCCACAGTGAGAAATGAAACTGAAGGTTCTCAGATGCCTCCTGTGTAGCCTGTCGGGGCCTCACACTTGGCCAGAGCGAGGGTAGTTGAAACTGGTAGCTCTGTCCAAGGAGGAATGTGTCTGAAGCTGTTTGCACCCCATGGGAACTCCGGTCCTTGTTGCACTGACATGCAGGGTGGCAGTAGTTACGTCACGTTGTCCTCCATTCGGAGAATAGTTGTATGTTCTTGTATTCAAATGGGAAAGTATGTTTGATCAGCTGTGGATTAAAAGGAAATGTTCAGTCCCTGAATCTCTTCTTTGCATCATTTTGGAGCAATTTAGTGACAGAAAAGGCAGTTCTCTGTGTTCTTCAGTTCACTGCTGGACTTGCGTGAGAAGGTGACATGTCCTTGGAGAGCTGTGCATATCTAGTGTACAATGGCCAGCCAGATTAAAATTCTCAGAGAATAGCTACACTTCTGTATTAAGTAGAAATCTGAAACTTAAAAGTTTGAGAAAGAATGCAGCTCTTTTATTTAAGGTTCACTTTTTTTTTTCTCTTGCCTTGCCTGGCATAGCAAGGGCAGCACAACCCATTAAAAAAAAAGGCGGGGGGGGGAATATAATTATGGAGTAGCAAAATAAAGTACATGTTTTGCCAGCAAAAATCCTATGTCAAATAGGCAGTGTGTGTTTCAAAATTTGACGTGGAGTCAGTTCAGTGTATTAGTATAAATAATATAATATTTGACAATGCACAGTTGAGATGTAGATCTTGGAATTTTGCTGGTCCCTCTCCTGGGAGCGTGGAGGGTGGGTAGGAGAGGGGTGCAGGAGGGAGAGGCTTTGTTCATCCCACCGCCCTGGCAGGGTCGAGGGAGAACAGCCGTGGTGTCTGATGCCTGTGAAGGAAAAGAAATGTGCAAATTCTGTTAGACAAGTAGGGCTTGTTTTTAAAATAACATACTCAAAGATAAGTGTTACGAAAAAAAACTCGTTTAGTGATAACTTTATCTACTCAGAAGATGAAAATTTAAGTGAAAAATAGACTTATCTGGGTAGCGTAACTCTTACCACTGGCGATAGGAAAATTGGTAATGCAGTTTGGGACTGACAAAGCAAGTGCTGTACTTATCACAGCAGACTTCTCTATTGTGTTGTCTTGCGATTTAGTGCGACAAATCAGATTAGAACTCTCTAGAAACGCTATCATAAGTGTGTTTCCCTGTGCAGTAGAGGCTTTTGGAAAATAACGCAAGTTGAGCAGCTTTTGATGCCTGTTCTTGAGTACAAGCTTTTGTCAGGGAGTTGGATAGAAAGGAAAAATAAGTTTTGGAAGGTGTAGGGACTGCGTACAAGCGTAGATAAGTGCATTTGGGACATGGTTTAGCCTATTGTCAACCATTCCTGGACTGGAAAGCCTCTTCCAGCTGTAGGTTGGGATAGGATTAGTGGGCTGCGAAGCACCAGGGAGGCTGAGGACGTACACGGTAGAACTTTTTCAAATCCTTGGTGTTGAGCTGCAGGTCCTTGGGGGGGTTGGTGGCTGCGGGGGCAAGGCAGTGGACTGCAGCACCTGGAAGCTGGAGATAGGACTGCGTAGCCATGTGGGTTTATCCAGTGTGCCCCGCCGCTGGGGATGTGCGTTAGGCTGGTAGGGCATTTGTTCAGTTATTTCTTACTCTGTACTTAAAAACTTTTAACCTTACTGCTAAAGAAAAATACCATTGTCTGTTAGTACGACTGGAACGAAAGATGAATAGCGAATTAGCCTTGAGCGAACTGTCAATCTGACTTTGATAGCCCATCACTTAAAAGGTCCTTTTATGTTTATGAAAAAGCATGACGTCAAAGCCAGGGGAAAAAAAAAAATACCAGTACTTAGGGCTAAACTTGCATAGCTTCCAAGAGCAGCCCCTGTGTGAACTGTTTGTTTCTCTACATGCATGGCTAATTAGCGTAGGTTACTATAAGTCTGAGCAGTGGAACTCAAGTTTCTTCTGCTGTTTTGGGGTAGCTTGTTTATGGTGCGTCCATATGCGGATCCCTCAAACTGGAGTAGCGTAGAGCAAAGGATATTGCAGTCACTTCTCTCACAACCTATTAGTAGTATGCTGGAAATGCTTGAGTATAATCATTATCAGGTGAGTTGTTACTGCAGACTTAATTTTAAAACCTGTTGCTAATAGGGCTTACAGTGTACAGGAAATCTTTTTCCACTGGTATCTGGTATGCTTTATTTAATTTCTTCCATAAAAATAAGTGGGGACATACATGGTCACTTGTAACAGCAAAAATCACTTTAATGGAACTTCTCAGAGTATTATTATATTTTGAGTTGTTTTCTACTTTCCGATAAAAACATTAATGATCAAAAAAAGGTGATAAAGGATACGGTGAAAATTTTGCATGGAAAAAAATTGCCTTTCTTCTGTTGCTTGTTTAGGGTGCTCAAGAACAGTTTGGTATGTGGATTTTTATATTTTGTATATAAGAAATTCTAAGTACTGAAAAGCTTATCTTAAATACAAAAATAGCTGTTGCTGAGGACAGTGATTGATCTGAAATGAAACACTTCTTTTCTTGCATCTTATTTGCATAACGTGTTTATAAACAGGCTGTCTTATTTGTATATGATTTGGACCATATATCCGAGGTATAAATAATTTGTAGGCAAAAAAAGGTGTATTCCTTTTTTTGTAACCAATGTGTTACTTAAAAACAAAACAAAAACCTTAAAAACCCAACAACAAACCTTTTGATCTCTCTGTTACTTGACATCTGATAAAGGATAACAATTTGGTTTTAACTGGTAGCTACTATCAAGTAGAAGAGTCCAGCGGTGGAACTTGTTTCTGTATATTTTAGTGAAAACGAAATGTCGTGTAGCTGAAGGTTTGAGTGGAGAACCGTCTGTTCTGGGGTATCTGTATAAACTGGAGCATTGGTCGAAAGTGAGAAATCTCACCCTGTAGAAAACTAAGTGGAACTTCTTGGTTTCATGTTACTAAGTCAGTTATTGAAACACTAGAAACATTAGCTTGTAAACTGATTTCTTGCCACCGAATGTGGATTAGCGAAGCGGTGTTGGAGCTGCACGGGTTTGTACTGTAAGTCAAATGCTTAGCTGGTGTGTATGTCACAAATGCATAGCTCAAATCGATAGCACGTATCATGATGTCGTAAACCAATAAAGCACTTTTTTAAATTGTCATACAGGTGCAGACTCACCTTGAGAATCCAACCAAGTACCATATTCAGCAAGCGCAGCGGCAGCAGGTAAAGCAGTACCTCTCTACCACTCTAGCAAATAAACATGCCAACCAAGCCCTGAGCTTGCCATGTCCAAACCAGCCCAGTGACCATGTCATGCCGCCTGGAACTGGAAGCAGCGCGCCCAACAGTCCAATGGCTATGCTTACCCTTAACTCCAACTGTGAAAAAGAGGTAATACGCTCTCACTGTGCATGTTCTTCAGTAAAATGGAATTACAATCTGGGTTTTTTTCTGTTTTAAACCATATTTCCTTATTTTTAAGATGTATGTTTATCTTTTCTGAACTGTTCACTTTGAATATGCAACTACTACCTCTGTGCCTGCCTGATGAATATATATTTGCATAGAACATTTTGGCAAAAAGCCTGTGTCCTGCTAACTTCCTCTGTTTTGAACTATTTCAGCAAGTTTATGCTTATTAAAACTACTTCTCCCCGCCCTTGCTTGATGCACGCAGTCAATAATTGACCTTTGGAGAATACAAAGCAGTTTTGTAAGCTGTAGCTTTTTGGAATAATGTTATTTATGGCTCATACAGTGTAGAAAGAGCAAAGAGCATAACAAAAATAACTGAAAACCACAAAGCTTTTTGAAATATTTTAGATAATTTTAAAGTAAAATTTGAGCAATCTCTTGCTTAGCTAGAAGGCCGGATTATCCCAGCTAATATACCCTAAAATGTTACTGATTGCTGTTTCAGGATGAGCTCAGTATTGCAAGTGTTAAGACTTCACTAGCCTATGCCTAGAAGTCCTTTGCAGCCTTGTCTTAATCTTTGCTGGCAAAAAACTCAGTTGGATGTTACATGTGTGCTCAGGTGCCGAAGGAAGTTGATTTGAAAGATGTTAACAAGTGTAAGAATCATGTCAATATTTTTGTAACTTGACAAATGGGAGACAATTGTAGAGCTCCCTGTGTCCCCATCCTTCCCCTTCAAGCCTTTGTGCCGGATTTTTAATACAGATGCACTCTGTGAGGAAAATGTTATGCCACTTTAAGAAACAGTTATTACAGAACATATTTTGCACATGGAAGAGAAATTACTTGTGCTCCGTAGCTTCAAAAGAAATGAAAATCAAATAGTTCCATCCCAGCATCCCAGTTGTACCCAAATATTCCCCCCCCAGATGTTTACAGCTTCACTTTGCTGTGTCATCAGGCACGTGTGTGCATGACACTGTTTCAATCGTGCTCTTTTTGGGACTGAGACTGTGCCATGAACTCAGATCCATGCTTTGCTTTTTCTTTTCTTTTTTTTCTTCTTTTTTTTTTTTTCCTTTTTATTTCTGCAGGGATTTTATAAATTTGAAGAGCAAAGCAGGGTTGAGAGTGAGTGCCCGGCTCTGAATACACACTCACGAGCATCATGCATGCAGGTACTGGATGACACAGGAGTTGGAGCACAGGTCCCCTTTCTAATGAGCATGCTTCTTTGAAGTGATGTTGAAGTATAAACTTGCCCCATAGTGTCTTTAAGAAGTTGAATATAAGATATATTTAAGGAACAAAAAAGCAACATTGTTTATTAGCATTGATGCCAAAAGTGCATTATGACATCTGAAGAAGGTTGATGCTTTTCTAGCACTGTAATGCTAGAGCAGAAAATATCAACCATGCTTTAAGGACTCATGTCAGGAAATATTTTCTAGTGCAGTTTTCCCAAGACTGCATGTATGTGTTTTTGACCTGATAGTTTCTGAGACCACATTTCTATGCAGGTCACACTTGCATTTAAAAAAAAATGATCTGAGAAGACTTTAATCCATTTGTGGTAATTTGTCCTGTGTAGTCATCCTTCTTTTTAATTTTTTTTTTTTTTTTTTAAACTAAGAGGGTTTTATTTCTAGTAAAAGGACTTCGGGTATGGGCTGTAACTGTTGGTTCCTTTCTTGCCCTCAGTTCCCGTCAGTGTAATTTGTTCTGATCATGCTTTCTTGAGCTGGTACAAAAATCTCATACATTACTATTGCTACCATCAACTTCATGCATTATTTTGTAGATGACTGTCATTTAAGCTCTTTTTTTTTTTTATTTATATTGAGCAAAAAGGAGATAGTCAATCCTGCACGACAGGTCAGGGTACCTGCGCAGGTGCTTTGTTTCTCCTGACCGTGCAGGAGTTTATGGAGGCACCTTCCAGCCCAGCCCCGGAAAGAAGATGACTTGTACCACCTAAAATCATCTCCGAGCTGCTCATGGGTGGTGGTTCCTGGGAAGGGTGTCTGAGGGACGTGAATCCAAGGGATTCTGTTGTCGAGAGTGGGCAGCCTGTCACCCAGCAGCGAGCCTTTGTGCCTTTGCCTTGCCCCGCAGGTGTCAGGGCTTGGGCATTGCTGTCTTTGACAGGTTTTTGACCCCACAACTAGAGGAAAGAGGTGGCGGGATAGGCAGGCGGTGCTGCACAGGGGAGAGGGACTCATGTCGTTAGCGTAGCTCGTTCTGTGGGGAGCTGTCTCCTCCGCTGTTCCTGGGAGGAACAGTGTGTCCGTGGGCAGGTAACTGCTGATGGGAGGAGTGGGTTAGATCATGCAGCCTCAGCTTTCGCTGTCCTGGCTGAAAAGCAGGAGTCATGGCTGAGGGATTGGATTTGGAGCATGTCAAAAACCGCACGGGCACCTCTGCTTGGGCCCGTGCTGCAGAGAGCCGGTGTGTGGCTGAGGTGCTCTGTCTGGCCTCTGTCCCAGTGGTTTTGATAATTACTCTTCTGTTTTTCTTTGTGTACCTTTTCTGCTGCAGATGGATGATGTGATCGATGACATAATTAGTCTGGAGTCAAGTTATAATGAAGAAATCCTTGGCTTGATGGACCCAGCCCTGCAAATGGCAAATACGGTACAACGGTCCTTTCCATTTGGTTTCCCTGTTAAGTCTAATTGTCTTTCCGCAAGAGAACACAAAAACGTAGCATCAGTTTTTCTCTGAGCAATTAAGTAGTTATTGTATTGTTCCATAGAGAATAATGGAAGGTTTTCTTTGAAGGGTTTAAGGTATACGCTTGCAATGAAAAACCTGAATTTAAAACCAGAAGCTATAGTCAGGTGGAGGAAATACAAGTGGTAATTTTGCTTCTCTTACTTCAAAGTCAAGTTAGAGGATTGTAACAGAGGAGTGCACTAAGCTAACAGAAGTGAGCTCATACCCATCAATATTAAAGATCGCCATGGACATTATACTTGGCTTCAGAAAGCCTAGAAGGTTCCTGTATCTTCTCATGTTCAAGTAAGAAATTGTACGCCACGCTTAAGCATGTGTTAATGCCCCTGTCCGAAGCTGCTCTAGTTTAACTGTTAGCTCTGCCATCATGGCTTTAGCTTAACCTGATTGCAAAGGGAGAGAAGTCCCTAGGTAGGTGACAACAAACATGGTAGAAAATCTAAAACCGAAAACAACCCATCAAAAGAAACAGAAGGTGAAGGAATAAAGAAGCTTAAAAACTGAACATGGGGAAGGGATCCAGCTCTGGGGGCCCCAGTACAGGAGAGACGTTGAGCTGTTGGAGAGAGTCCAGAGGAGGCCACGAAGCTGATCGGAGGGATGGAGCACCTCTCCTGCGAGGACAGGCTGAGAGAATTGGGGTTGTTCAGCCTGGAGAAAAGGCGGCTCCGGGGAGATCTAATTGCTGCTCACCAGTACCTGAAGGGGCCTACAGGAAAGATGGGGAGGGACTGTTTATCAGGGAGTGTAGTGACAGGACAAGGGGGAATGGGTTCAAGCTGAAGGAGGGTCGATTTAGATTAGATGTTAGAAAGAAATTCTTTACTGTGAGGGTGGTGAGGCACTGGCACAGGTTGCCCAGAGAAGCTGTGGATGCCCCATCCCTGGAAGTGTTCAAGGCCAGGTTGGATGAGGCTTTGGGCAACCTGGTCTAGTGGAGGGTGTCCCTGCCCATGGCAGGGGGGTTGGAACTAGATGATCTTTGAGGTCTCTTCCAACCCAAACCATTCTATGATTCTATGACATAGGAAGCCTGCGAGAAAAACCAGGAACACTGAGATGCAAAAGCTGGTGAGCGAGGGAAGGCGCAGGTTACTTTCGCATTGCTGTTTCTGTTTGCTGGTTCACATTGCTGGGCGCGTTAATCGTACTTCTGGCATAATCTTATTTTGATCTTTTGTGGAGGGCAGTTCCAGTGAATTTTTTGCCTTAGGTTTAAGTGCTGTTAGATCTGGCCGAGTAGATGTCTGCCAGTGCTGGCATCTGTTTCTTTTTTATCTAGTGCCAAAATTTAGAGCTTACCACATAGCATCAGTTTTGTTACATAGGTTTACATTTGCTGACAGTAGTCGTCTGATGTCATGTTAACCTAGTCCTATGCTCCCACAGATTCTCACAGCCCTCTGAGATGTGGTAAATGCTGCAGGAAACAGCCCCCCAGCATCCATTGCTAAATAGTGCCCTTTGAGCAGGCGGAGAAATAATTGCAGACTCCTGCCGGAAAGAATGAATTTTCCTTTAATCTAAGATGACTTGAAAAGTGCATCTGTCCTGGAGTTTTGAGAGGAAAACTTATAAACCTGTGAAAAGATAGTTTTTGAGATAGTTAAGTCTCTTTTTTAAAATTCAGAGTTCAGGTTCTTCTGGAGTCCTTGCTCTGAAGTTCCATTAGATCGGGACCCATTAAATTAGAGGACACTTGGATTTCTTTGTGCTTTTCTTCCTATTTAATTTCACAGGGACCCCAGCAGTGGCTCTTTGGTTCCAGACAAGCACATAATGGTACTCTGTGCTCTTTTGGTGCCAGGGGTCCATGTAGTCAATATTTAGGGCAGTCTGCATCCCTCCTGCTTGCTGCATGCCAACAAACCTTGTAAGGCCTGCCTGACCCACGGTTGCTGTGGAATTTCAGAAATTGCCTGCTGTATGTGGTGAAGTCTGTAAAATAAGGATACAAAATAGTAGAATTAAGATTAATACAGTTAAATTGGTAAAGGCAAAAAGCATATTTCAGTCTCTGAATTAACCTGGTACCGATCCTGAAGAGGTGGAAATTGAACCATGTTTCCCAACAGTTTGTTTGGAGACGGGGGAAGAAAAAAAAAAAAGAACCTGATGTAACAGACACTTTTCTTTTGGAACAGGATTTAGCTCTGAAAACACACAACATTTTACTAATAAGGAATTAATGTCTGTAGACTAAGCTAAGTAGAGGTGGAAGAAAGCAAGAGAGGAAATGGTCCCTAAAGAGACACAACCTATAAATAGTTGTGCTGAGACTACGACAAAGGCTGTTATTGTTCCATAACCAACAAAGAACAAAAGGACCAGTTTGTTACATTTGGTAACAGTACTTAATTGATAAGCAAAAGCAGAGATTTCTGTGTAAAGCGAGCTAAGGGAAGTTTCCAAGTACCTCTTAATTGAAAAGGGCTCGTTGCAATCAACTGCTTGGGGAAGTGCTTGTAAACTTGGGTCACAAGTTAACCGGCTTTTCTTCTGTGGTGAACGGTATCACAAAATGGTCTCTAGTTTGCCAAGAGGATTTTCTGCATATATATGACCTAGGAGTTGAATTGCTAGGTACTGTGTAAAGTACTCTTGTATGCCAAGTTGAGATGGCAACTAGTTCATCCAACTAATCAAGTCCTAGCAAGAGTCATGGAAAGCTGTGTGAATATGGCAGCTCCACTTCTGAACATGACTTTCCTGTGGAATTACAACTCCAGAAGTAGAGAGGAGCCTTGTTTCAGGGACTGTCACCGAGCGTGTGCTTGTAGGTAAGGGAACAACACAGTACGTTGTAGGCTGCATGAGCTGGGGAACAGAATCCATTCCAGTTTCTAAACAGCCTTCTTGATCCCGCAGCTGATGTCTCAGTGATTTATATAGAGCCCGGATAACCTGAATGTGGGTGGTTGTTTTGTTGGAGTAGTGGGGAAGAAAGGAAAGCCTCAGACTCCCCTGAATGTACACTATGAGTCTGCAGTAATAATTTCCTGTATTTGAAATTTCTTTACAAAAAAGCAGTAGTTTGCTTGTGCACCTTGTGAAGCCAAGGCCTAAAGATGTGAAATCTCACGAATAAAGTTTTTTTAGACTATGCTGTTTCAATGAAGGTTACAAGCTAAGCCTGGCAGAAGCCACTCTTCCTTCATTTACTTTTTGAGAGAGTAAAGGTGGATGATCTGAATGATGCTGTATTTAAATTTCTTCTTAGCCAGAAGTGGCTAACAAAGCCTTAAAGGCAGCATATTGAAGTTGGAAAGTTGCTAGTGTTCAGTGAAAGCGGGGAAGGAGCCTCCTTAGCATCAGAAAAAGGACATCAGGTTCCATGTCCTTCTCAGTTTTGAGACTCACATCTTCCCAGTGAAATGGCTGTGGTAGTTATGAACATTTTCCCATTGCTTTGTACTGGGGAAAGGGATGAAAAGCTCGACTGTCTTGATAAATTAGAGCCGAAACATTTGCAAGCAATGTTTAATTTTTTCCAGTTTCTTCCAATAGGAGGCATTTGACAGATGTTGGTGCCTTGTGTCCATTATAAGCTGCTTCTGGGGGTTTTTTGGTGGGTTTTTTTGTTTGTTTTTTTCCCCATTTCAACCTAGTTGACCGCTTTTGTTGCTAACAGTGCTGCCAGCTACTTATCCATCTCAAACCAATGCCTTCAGCGTAGGGGTCCTCTCCCCTTTCCGGTTCCCTGAACTCTGCACTATTGGTCTTACCTTACAAGTCAACTCATTTTTATTCCTCTGGTACCTGGAATAGAATTGGGAGTAGACAATGTGCCTCAATTTTAACTTATCTTTAACTGCAGGTATTTTAGCCACGTGAGATGAGCTGAAGTGTTGTATGCACTTTGTATTTTTCAGGTGAAAGGGGTTGTATAAAGTTAGTCCCAAATATGTGACTTGCAGCCAGCGTGGAGAAGAGGCCTCTCGGAGGCTCACGCTGAGTGTAGACCATACACGTAGTGAAACCCGTAGTAAAAAGTTAGAACTGAAGCTTTGACCTCAGGAGCTCAGGTTGCTGAGAAAAGTAGTCAAAGAAAGAAGCCGATCAGTTTCTTTGCTTATGGATCACTGATTTAAACCGAGATTGTTGGCATCTACCTCTAATATAAATTTCCTTGATAAGCATTCACGTGTACGTGCAAACCTGCAACCTTTCTTAGCAAATTTCTCCCTTCATCCTCCTTTATTTAGGTAATGCCGCCTCAGCAGTGCTTGTGCTTTGGTTGTTGCACAGCTCTTGGTATGGTTCCTCCGGTGCCTGCAATTCCTGTAGGACTTCAGCGTGCACGTTCAGCAGCTGCTGCCTACGGAACCATCCCCTTTTGTGGGGGTTGCTTGCACGGGTCCTGTTTATTTGCACAGAAATCCGGCACAATGTTGACACCTTTGGGGAAAAAATAAATTAAATAAAATCACAAACCTGTTGTAACAAGCAGGGTCCATCTTGCAGGAAGTGAAGCAGCTTGGTGACCTTGACTGTTCTCCATGTATATAATGTATAACATAGCTGCTTTACCCGGGCTTCAAGGTGCTACTTTATAGATTTCTGGGGGAAAAATAAACAAACAAAAAAAACGCCAAAACTTTTTTTTTTTAATTCCCTGATATTCATGATTCCATTTCACATGTCTGCTTCTGAACTTCAAGTCCCTGGGCTACAAACGAGTTCTTTGTGCTCTCTCCATGCTTAGGAGCATGAATAGGAAAAGCGCATCCAAGTCAGAAGGGTGCGTGATGCTATCGCTGTGCCTGTGTCATGGATGCGTTCGAGGGGCCGAAAGATAGAAGGGTCAGCCTTGCAGAGCAGTGAGAGAGTGAGTGGTCACCCTGACATTAATGCGGATGTGGCACAACATGGACCGTAGTCTCTGATGGACATCTGTGACCTTAGATTTATGATAGATGTTCCTTTTTTTTTCTTTTTTTTTTTAATATTGCATTCAAGACCTAAGGGGAAGGCGAGGAATTGTAAGGCTGGTTCTTGGCATGAATTCAGTTACATTTTTCCTCTGTCACTTAAATATTGAGTCAGGGGACTTAATTTTCATTGTTGACCACTGTCCGTTCAAGACAAGTGTCGGCATGGCTTCTAGCTGGAGGTACTTTAACAGATGCACATCACCTTTGCTTCTTATGGTAGCTCCAGACGGCAGAGAAATTTTCTTAGGTCTCAGTCTGGCAAGGACGGTCAGTGGGAGTGTAATAGCCCAGGCTGTGACTCACTCCATTGTATTCAACAGCATTATTTACATGGGTGTAAAGTTAATACTCTAATCTCTGCTGGATCAGTGTCTTGGAGGGATTGGTTTTCTTTACAGAAACGATGATAAGAAGTGTTTCTACTTAGATAAGATAGCGAAGTGTTTTATACCTGTCTTTTCAAAAACTGGTTTGAACACAAAAGAGAGATGGGTAAAATAATCCACTCAGGGTAAACTTCTTTAAATACGTTTCAATTTAAAGGGCTAGCTTTGATTAGTCTTGTTGGAATGCTACGCTATTTCTGTATAAGTCTCCTTGCTTAAACGTTACCTAAATAAGAACAGCAGAATGAACGAGTAATTGAGGAAACTTAATGTCAAAATAATCTTCCTCCTACTGGTGCGCGTTCTTGTTACGTAAGTTAAAGTAAACTTAAAATTTTTCTGTGTAGGTAGCTTTCAAATCACATGAAAAATGTGGTTAATTAATAGAGTGTTCTCCCTCAAGCATCTGACAACTTGCTAAGTACTTCCACTCACCTATTCCTGGAAAAATGGGGGCTTCCTCCAGGACTGGTCTGTAGTCTCTTTCAGAATTTTTGAGTGAGAGAGGTGATGGGGGTACAGGCGTAATAGTTTCACTGAAAAATAAGGAGCATTAATACAGCAATATTGTCAGCGTGTTACCTCTTCTACGTATTCTTGAGAAGGCAGAATTTCCCCAATGTAGCTGTTTTATTCCTCATGCCTGTGCATATCTGTGACTTTGGCTGACCTTATTGCACGCTCTGTTTGCACATGGGAAAGAGCACAGATTTCCTAGCAGATCCTAACTTGTTCTTCTGTACAAAGCCTTTCATAAGGGCAAAACAAATGATCCTTTTCCTTGTTTATCTTTTTCCAGTTGCCTGTGTCTGGCAATTTGATTGACCTTTATGGCAACCAAAGCATGCCTCCTCCAGGACTAAACATCAGCAACTCATGTCCAGCAAATCTTCCCAATATAAAAAGGGAGCTCACAGGTAAATATGTCTATAATACCACCTTGGAGCAATAGTATAACTGGTTTGAATGCAGGTGATATCGGACATAATTTCTGTTAATAGAATATATGGATGAATAGTTTCTTTTTTGCTTTGTGGACCGTTTTTTAGCAGCCATATTAACCTGCGATGCACTTGTGTTCATGTGTGGGCATGTGTGTGTTCACTGTGATAAATGAAGATAAAGTCCCTAGTTGTTATAGTGAGATCTGCACATTGAAAACGTTGTGTCACGGGAAGCTTCCGTGCGGCTCTTGCAGAGCTGTTTTCTAGTTTGGGCTTAGTGTTTGCTCTAGCAACACCAAGGTTTAACAACTTCACAGCTGGAGTCTCTGTGGGATTCATGTTGAGGAATGCTACATGTTGAGGCTTTACTCTAGTAGGGAAGGGCAGTAATGAACAAATAGCCTGTTGTAATGTGAAATCTGGACCTAGATCCTATAAAATCCTGTAAAATTAGGCACTCGCGAGAGAATATGCATCTCTTAAATTAAGATGAAAATTAAGTATCCTGTACATTTCTTGTCACGTTGGTTCTTCCAGCAGTGCTCTGAATAAGCTGTGGGAGGCAGGGGGACGCGAGGGGGACGTTAAAAGCCTTTTTCTCTCCAGCACATGTGTACAGAAGCTAAATAGTTTGAAGGAAGAAATAAGAAGTTTCATATTCTCAAACATGTTTTATTTTTGCTGTTCTGCTTCACTTCAAAGGATAAAACCGCATGTAGGGTACAGTATACAAGGGAAGCTGCTCTACAGGAAAAACAAATGGAGACCCATTCGAGAACTGATGACAAAATCATCTTAATACCCAGAAATGGCTGTTCTTAAGCCCAACAGGGAGTTAAACTGTAATGCAGTGTGGTAGAGGCATAGTTTCTTTCTTGTCTGTCATCTTTCTGGATTTTTGTTGTGAAAACTCACGGGCTGACTCAGTTGCAAAGCAGGTTCTGGACAGGAGTTAGTGTAAGTAGAGCAGTTTTAATAGCCCAGGAGTCAGCTTCTCAGGAGGAAATGCCACATCTCTGAGCTGGCGGATATTTGCATTTATATGACGGCACAAAATTTGAGTTCAGCACCAAATGAAGACACGCAGACTGCACAACGATTTGTGGCTGCTCAAAAAAAAGAAAAGCTTGTACAGCAATGGAGCTATGTTGAGAGGAGGGTGGGAGGGGATGAGAACTACTCCAAGTCCCACGTTACAGGCAGTTTCATTGCCCCAATTGTAGAAAGTTAAAGGTGGCTGTAGACTGCAAACTAAACATCCAACTTGTCAGATGTCCAGGCTGGTGGGTTCACTGCGGACGGTTGTTTGAGACTTCAGGCAAAGAGGGCAGAAAGAGAGGGGAAAATAATGAGTGAAGTGGTCTTATGGAAGTCATCAGCACATCAAAAGAGACCTGAACCAGGTGAAATGTCTATATGGTACATTCACCTGTACACAGAAACAATTTCCATGAGTGCTTTTTCTGTTCAAAATATATGCTAGCAGATTGCGTTTAATTTAGCTGGGGTTTAGGAATTAAACTCAAATTTAACAACAGTCACTTTTACATTGATCTGGCCAAGCCTTTGTTCAGAAAGCACTGTCGATGGTGCTTTCTGACAGCCAGTGATTTTAAAATCAGCATGTTATTGCAGGCAGGAATCTCTTGGTTCTCCGTTTCCTGATCTTGGTGTTGGAACTAGGCTGGAGAGACCTTGCCGTATTTAAATTTAGCATTTCTCAGAAACCTTTCTCCATCCTACTGTATAAATATCAAAATTGTGAAGAACCAAGAAAAGTCAAATCTATTATCGCAGCATCTGATGTTGATGATGGTTGTGAGTTCTCAGCTGTAGTTACAGAAGCATTTAATGGGAATCCTGCTCACCCGGTAGAGCAATTTCCATCGGGTTTGGCCTTACAAACCTCCTATCTGTTTCATAAGGCAATGTCAGATTAAGCCCAGATTTCATTGAGACCTGGAATAGTCTTTCAAGCTTTTTTTTTTTCTTTTTTTGGATCCTTTTGGAGGCTAGTGGAGAAGAAGATGTCTTGTTATATTGCCGGTAATATTGGAGTAGCTTTGTATTCTAAGCAGTGAAGTAGTCAACTTTCAGTACTCCACGGGAAGCCCTTATCACCTGTTATTTTGAATTGGGTGGGCCATAATCCATAGTCCATAAAAAAATAAAAGAATACAGGAAAGAAACTTGATGGAGGGGGTTTGTTTCCATGATGGACTGTGTGATAATTGATCATGTTCGCTTGTCCTCACTGACTGACTGCAAAACTAAATAAAGTGTGCTGGTTTTGAGATTTAAATGCAACAGGGCAAGGATTCATGACCTCACCCTTTTTAGAAACTAAAAAGGATAGAGCAAACAAAAAAATAATTAAAATTGAGAAATGTAAGATCAAATGAGAACTGAAAATAACAAATTTAGTTATGCTTTTACCTGAACTATTGCATGCTGAAATACAATAATAAACGTGCGGAGCAAGGTTAAGAACAGCTCTGAGTTGAGGAGACAACTGATCTGTGACATAGTTGTCATTATTTTTGGTTTTACTTTTCCTGATGCAAAGACCATTGCTTTCTAACAATATTGCTAATAAAGGTGTTGAATTTTTCATCTTTTTTTTCATATAACGAGAACAGTTAGTGTAGCTAGGAAATACAGTCTTTTTAATACGTCGCTTAAGTTATACCTTGAGTCTTGTGGTGATGTGCACGCACGTGCCACAAAAGGACGTAGCCTTAATTCCGGTGAGTAGAGCCTCTGACTCCTGACTGCTTCACATCCTGCGCAGGTAGCAATGCAATAAGCATGCTGTTCCTCTGGTTCAGCCTCTGCGTGGTACGTAAGCGTGCCGGATGTATGTAAACGTAGGAGAAGGTATGTTGGACTTCAGCAGTTTGTTGTCCTCAGATACCTTGCTGAGTCAGGGCCTCCGTGGGGAACGTTCTGGTCGGTATGGGAAGTGTGGGAATGGATGCTCCACAGGCGCAGGGGTGAAGGTGAACATCAGCGTTGTGTTTCGGCAACCACGGCTTCCAGTATGGGCCCTTCTCACTTGTGGGAGTGGGTGTAATAATTGGTTTGACAAATATCCATCAGGCTTCCTGCACGAATGTTTCGCAGACTGAAATGTTGTGTTTGAATCACTTTAATTCTAATTGCTTCATTCACATGCACAGCATGTATTTTTCCTACAGAGTCAGAAGCGCGAGCGTTGGCTAAGGAGAGGCAAAAGAAAGACAATCACAACTTGAGTAAGTTTTGGTTGTTGCATTTTGCACCCATTCCAGTAATGATTTTGGGCGTTAAGTGTTCGAATGCTGGCGTTGTAAATCTGAACAAGACGTTGCATGTAGTATATAGTACCAGTTCATTATGTGATCAAATATCTCAAATTCTTGTGAAATACGTGCTTAAATCTACTGTTGAATTTTAAACTTTTTTTTTCAATAAGCCAAGTGACTGGATCGTTATCATCAATGGAATTACTGGGAACAACATTTGATCCAGTTGCTTTTAACAAATCTACGCACAACTTTGCCCCTTTTTTAAATGAATCTAAAATCTCAGATACGTGCTTAATCTGTGACTTTAATCATCAATGTGCATGGCAATTTTGTAAATTCAGTTTTTGAAGGGAACACATCTTTCCAAGTTGGAAAAAAACATTTTAAACTAATGAACGTCTTATGACATAAAGGATCCTTAAGGTGTCCTTTTATACTTTATATTACTAGAAGAAAGGAACTGTTTCATGCCTTGAGGTATTCAGAAGCCTTTTCCATTGCATGAAAAGCTAATGCAGGAAAATTGTGTTTAAGTTTGACTTTTGAATCCTCAAAATATTGCATCTGGAAGTGTACTTTAAAAAGAGACTATACCTTTTGTCCCTTTTCCGGCTTTGGGATTTCCTTGAGCATCTACATTTTTGTGTCGCTGATGCTTTTCCCTAGGAAAACATTTGCTTCTCAGTTGAGTCCTATGCTAACACAGCCCGCCTGCTTTTTAGAGTCTCTGGCGCTTCAGCAGTCCTGCATTTTTGCAGTATAGACAGAACTTCTGTCTTGGTGTGTCCGGGTGTCGGAGAGCAGAATAAATTACACTGTCACTGGATTTTAAGCTTCAGGCAAACATTTCAAAGGTGCTTAAAGAAATCTTTGATGAAACACTTCATATGTTGTAATTAAGTGCAAATATTGCTTCATATGTTGTAATTAAACGTGAATTATTACTTGTAACATTTTGTAATTAAGTGTGAATATGACTTGTAACATTTGTGCTGTTTTTCCTAAAGTTGAACGAAGAAGAAGATTTAATATTAACGATCGTATAAAAGAACTAGGCACTTTGATACCCAAGTCAAATGACCCGTAAGTATAATGTGCTAAAGGAGACTGTGGGAGGGAGGTGTTAAAAGAAAAAAAATATCGTAGGGGAGAGAAAGAATTTACAAATAAAAAAAAGTCCTGAGTTTTCTTGTATAATCTTGGCACTCCATGACTGTAGAAGTGCTTGAAGGTTCCATTGTATTTTTTGAAGATTGTTTTGAGGTTTATTTTTCCCTTTTGGAACTTTCTGAAGTTTATATTAATTTGATGATTTTTGTCACAAAACAATGACCGTGCCGTTGTGCAGCAGCTCAGCATCCAGCAGCACCCTGTGCTTTTGTAGGGCTGGGGTTGATGCTGGGAATGACTGCCTGCCTTACCAGCGGTGGAGTTGTCAGGAAGGCTAGTCTCGCTAAATCATTCTTTTAATTTATTAGATATCATAGCTCAGCAAGAGAGAACTGACCCCTCTTTCCGTGAAAATGGAGGGCAGTTCCTCTGGGAAGCCATCGTATTCCCCTTCCCTCCAAGAAAAAAGAAAAACAAAGAGCATATCTGTGTATCTGTTTGCTGATAATTTGCCAATGTTTCTGGTAGTTCTTTTGGGTAATTTTACAGGTACTAACTTGTCTTAACTTTACCCAACGCTGATTCAATAGGAAGGAACCCCTCGCCTTGCTCTTGAGCTTAAGTCTCACTTAAATCTGAATGAATGGCCCGTGACACTTTTGGGGAGAGTTTCCATTGTTTTAAGGCAGTTGCTCACGGAGCAGCTCATAGCTACTCTTCAGAGAGGTTCTTTAGCTTCCTCTAAGGCAAGCAAGGCAACATTCCACAGTATCACCCTATGGGACACGTGGATCTTTGGTCTGATGGTCTGCAGTAAACTGGGTTTTTTTTAATATTTAAACCAAGTAAGATGATGTGTGGGTGCAGAAGATGCAGGCAGCCTCTCTCTCTAAAGCGAGTGTGGGAGGAATAGTGTGGGAGAGGGATATGGGAGCCACGTACCCCCCGGCTGGAGAACCGTCACGGCTAGGCTGCAGTGGGACATTTGTATTTTACCCAGAGATAAGTTTAAAGCACCGAAATATGCTGCTGTATCGGGCTCTTCCTACCGTAACACCAGGAGGCCTATTGCTTGCGGTTTTTTGGGAGCTAAAGGGCCTCGGGTCTTTCTCGCACAGAAGCACCGGCTCGTATCTGCTCCCTTCAATTCCCCAGCTGACATCGGGCATCACCCAGACAGCAACCCCTACGATGTTCGAGAAAAGTCTCGCAGGGTTTTTGTCGCTGTTGCCTTGCAGCCTTGCCCTGAGGCAGTGAAAGGAGCCCCTTGCTCTTCTGGCACTCTGCGCGGTGCCGGTGCCGAACCGTGCGGGGGGCTGCGGGGACCCCCCGGGCTGGCTGCAGTCTGCTGTGCAGCAGCCGCTCTCTGGCCCCCTCTAGTGCATTCAAATACCTTCCCTGTTCGTACACTTGGAATAAATATTAGCCAGGTGTTCTGTGTATATGAGGTGTAATCATCGCCGCCAGTGTGGAGGTAATGACTATAAAATAAACCTCACTGAGCGCCTTAACTCTTCCTTTGTTTTTATTGATTTCAAAGGGATATGCGCTGGAATAAGGGAACTATTCTAAAAGCGTCGGTGGACTACATCCGTAAGCTGCAAAGAGAACAGCAACGCACGAAGGAGCTTGAGAACAGACAGAAGAAGTTGGAACATGCCAATAGGCACCTGCTGCTCAGAATACAGGTTTGCTGATAAATAAACTGCAAATGCTCTTAATGTTGCAGTGTGTGACTGTGAATAATGGTAACTGAAGCTTTCTCATAGGAATGTGGGTTGGAAGGAACCAGCATTTTAATAAATGGTGACCAATGCTGAGAAGTCTGCAGAGATTTTTTTTTTTTCCAGAAAAAAAACCAGGATACATTAGTTAAAAAAAAAAAAAAAAACCAAAACACAACTCTAACACTCTGATAAAGCATTTAGTGCTGGTCTATTTTTGTTCTACTACAGACACATAAATTACAAACCATTCTGTCAGAAAAATTTACATGGTAATTTTTAATTTTTTGGGGGGGGCGGGGGGGATTGTGCCAAACCTAAGGAATTGGGATTTCATGTATGATTTATTTGTTGATAGTGATCAAATTCAGTTCAACTGCTTGGGAGTACGTTCACTTTAGTCATCTTGCTTGTGGAGTTTTTTTGACCTGTAGCTTTAGTGCTTGTTTTCTTCCGAAGCAGTTTTGGATGAACGGCAATAAGTGAAAACTTCGCATTTTGCTTGTGGGTTTTCTAAATTGTGTGGGGACCAATCCGGGCCCAATCCATCAGAGAAGCTCTACAGATTGCAGTCTTCTACACCTGATCTCTGATTTCTTCTGTCATTCAGCCTCTCCCCGATGCTCTGCAGGAATCTGTTATCTGCTTTCTGGTTGAGAGTAAACGCTGCTCTCAGGATAAATTAGGCAGGGAGGGCTGTATTGGTGATAGACACTGCTGCACCGTGTCTGGAGTTCCCTGCAGGTATCTTGGGGACTGGCAGCCGTATTTAATGTTGAGGCTGCCCTGGCTTGTCTGAGAGCAGCTGCAGAGAAGCCCACCTAACGTGAGTGCTCCAAGAGTTTTTGCAGCAAGACAGCCAAGAGCTATGGGTGTGAGCTGCCTTTTTTTTTTTTTTTTTTTTTTGTCCGAGGAGCTATGTTTGGTTGTCCTTGTTTCTTGAAGTCTGTAGGACTGTAAAACAGTTCTCCTCAACGCAGTAGGTGGCATGAGTATGTTTTCTCTTGGGTTATTGCCTTGTTAGATTCATCCAGGTTCCCAATAGCCCGTGTTGCACGTAAAGGGGTAATTAAGGAAGTATATCTAGATCTGGGCGTAAAAACGCATAACACGGAGACAGTGATGTCCCAGATATTCTCGTGTTGCTACTCACCCGCCGTGCGAACAGCTGAGCTCTGCGTGCAGGCTGCAGTGTGCCAGGCTGGCTGCTGTGTCAGGAGAGCCCTGAACCGCAGCACGGCTAATCCGCAAAGTAGATAATGAAGCTAGAAATACCTGAGAGTCAAGTGTGGCAGTAAACAGCTTTAAAATAGAACAGGCTGGGATGAGCTTCAGCGCAGTTTTTGTACTTTGAGCAATCTGATTGCTAGAGTGAGACAATAAAGATGCACTACCCTTCTGCAGAGCAACATCAAGCAGTGGTATTTCAAAGCTAAGTCAGATCACTTTTTAAGCATCTTTCATCTTCCTTTGCATTATCCATCTGCTCTGGCTCCTTCAGTCAAAATAACATAAACCCCAGACCCTTGAATAATGGGCAATACATCTGGCAGCAAATAACCTAAAGCTTGTATTTTTTCTTTTTGCGTTGATTCTGATTAAGCACAGAGTGAGGAACTCCTGATTTTGGCATGTTAGCTGATGGAAGAAGTGCTTCCTCCTTCCACCTTCTCCATTGATCTTGCAGTGTGCCATTACAAGCTTGTTGTCTTAGCTTGAAAATGGAAAAAAGGTTATTAATCAACCTCAGTGATAGGAATATACCCAGAAACAGTATAATCACAACGGTGATTGTGATTGCCTAATATATTGCATAAGTAGAAGCAAAATATCTCTCTCTCTGCTGCGTTTAAAAAAGGGCATTTAAATGAATTATTTGTCTTCATCAAGTGCATCTATATGATTAAATGTGAAAGTGGGATTTAAACTTTTCATGAAGATTCGAAGAATCTTGGCTGTGTGTGAATTCTAAAACCTTCTCAGGACTTGCCCATGATTTTTTCAGTGCAGGAACAGTGTTGCTCAGGTTTGGCTGACCTCTTTACTTCCAGCTCTACCAGACTTGTAGAATGAGAAATGTCCCTTCCAGTGTCTCCGCAGGAAAGCATCGTATAGACATGCTATGCCTTCACATATTACTTTTTAAAAAAAAAGTACGCTTCTGCTTTGCTTGATTTTTTTTCTCTCCCTTTTTTCAAATTTTAAATGCTTTCCTCACTTGACCTGATGCCAACCCTGCCTACCGTGGCACTGGTTTGAGAAGAGACCCGAGGGGAAACGCATCTGTTGTACAGGGCGTGCTGGGTTTTGACTCTGCTGTAGGTTCTGAGGAGAAGTGTGAAGGAGCTGTGTGGGGTGGTGTTCACCCACCTCTTCAAGAGACTGATGTTCAGGCGAAAATCCGCAGGGCAGGAGCATGCGAGGTGCAAGCGCTTGTTGCTACTGGAAAGGGAGGAAACGGTTTGTGTACAGCAGGAGGAAACTGTCAGTCACAGTACACGGGAGCCTAAGATGACAGATTTTGCTTAATTTGTCCCTTCTCCTCCTTCACAGGAACTTGAGATGCAAGCTCGGGCACACGGACTGTCCCTTGGTCCATCTACAGGCCTTTGCTCCCCTGATATGGTCAACAGGGTCATCAAACAAGAGCCTGTGCTGGACAACTGCAACCAAGACATCATGCCGCACCACACAGACCTGTCTTGCACTACCACCCTCGATCTCACCGACGGTACCATCACCTTCAGTGACAACCTTGGAAACGTGACTGAACCATCTGGCACTTACAGTGTTCCTGCAAAAATGGGATCCAAACTGGAAGATATCTTGATGGACGATACCCTCTCCCCCGTCGGAGTGACTGACCCGCTACTTTCCTCTGTGTCTCCTGGAGCATCGAAGACGAGTAGCAGGCGGAGCAGCGTGAGCATGGAGGACACCGATCATGCTTGTTAGCATATACTTGGCACACCTTTCATAAACTGCTTTGTTTCTTGATCAGTAGATTAAATAATTTACCTTTTGTAGAATTTTTTTGATTTTTTTTCCTTGTGCTTCATCAGTAGCCCAGTGTGTGCGCGTGTGTGTATATATTATATATATAGGAATTTTTTTTAGAATTTTTTGTGAAGAAACTTGTATATTCTATTTTAAAACTACCAATGCCTCCAAAATATTGTACAGCATATGTACAGTATCTGTGAACTGGATTCGCCAAGAACTTTGAACTGGTCAAATCTACTCAAAGCAATAGAATTACAAATGAAGAGTCTGTTTCTACTGGGGGGAGGGGGAAATCGTAGGATTGTAAATGCAACCTATTTACCTGGAAACAAAATGTAAAGTTAAAGAATGTAAAGAAACCAAAAAAAAACCCAAACCCAAGTCCAATTTGTAATTGTATTAATTGAATAGTGCTGCCTTAAAGATACAGTGTCCCTCAAACGTTGGTCTTTACATGACAAGTGTTTAGGGAAAAATACCTGCCCTACTCCACCCAGAATACAAAAAAGAAAAAAAACCAACAAAGGTGTTAAGACATCCTGATTGTGTTGATTGCGATATAAAATGCTGTTGCTGAAAATAGCAGGGAGATGCAAGTCTCTTTCTCAGAGTGCCGTTTAATTTTACTCTGAGCTGATTTGGGTTTTCCTTTTGATCATGGTTCGAGTTTTTCTCTTAGATTTTTTTATTTTGTTTTGTAACACGCATTGATGGCCTGCCAACAGTAAACCAAGCAGGAGCACTGTAAGTTGGTATACACTCTTTGGACAAAAAAAAAATTGATAACGTTTTATCAGCTGGGCACATTATGTTGTACATATCTAATTGGCTTTATTTTTTTTTAAATTGCATTGTACAGTTTATTTTGATTTGCATGGATTCCTTAGTTATCCTCAACTTTTTGTTTGAAATATATTTGTATTTCATTTGTAAGATTTTTGCCTCTTAATATTGCAACGATTTTTTGACATTTTTAAAACTCATTGGAAGTTTTCTGCGTTCTTTGTAAACACTTGAAAGGAAGCTTTTATGCAGGGTTCTGTGTTTTAAGAGAGATTTTGAGAATATTTTGTATATTACAGTCTCACTTTGAAAATGTTTTTAAACACATTTAAGATAGAGTACAAATTTAGATTAGGTAATAAAACAATTCTGTAGAGAAACTGAACTTACATATTTATTTTTAGTGATACAGAAAAAAGTAGTAATATGCTTGGAAACATAACTATGTAGTTAATATACCCGTTATAGTAATTTGTGTTTTATTTCAGCACTGGGGCTGACATAAGAAAAAAAAACAAACAAACAAAAAAAAAGTAAATTACTGTATCTGCAAATAACTGTTACTTGATAACAACGTTATTAATTTTTAACATGCAACAATGTTGTAAAAGTAGTTGGTGCATTATCTACTCAAGTGTAGTCCTATGCAATAACGGTAGTTATACTTGTATTATATCAAGCCTAGGTGTTTTACAGAGGTGACATGTGGTGTTACGAGCTAGACGGATGGAACGGATTTCTCAGTAGCAGCCTACAGCTGACTCGCAAGTGGCAGGCAAGCGCATCTCGTTCAGAATGAAGTGCCTTAAACTCTAGTTGTAGTCTTCCTCGACTAGCACTGACTGAAGTGTGGCATAGGAGAGAGCTTTAGGGTGATGTTTTATAGGACGCTGAAGTGTAGCATGGTGCCTACGTATAGAAAACAAGAGCTTCCCGTTCTCCTTTGTGCTACACTGGAAATTACATAGGGTAAGTGAAACGGTTAGTGACTCGAGCGCCAGTTTGGCAGGCTTTGTAAGGAAACCTTGGTCCCTACAGTTAGTGTTCAGAAATCAAATGTGAATTGGGTAGCGACGGGAGAGCCGGCGGCAGCGCCCGGCAGTTCCCGCAGCCTGCGGCGTGGCTCGCTGAGCTTTCACCCCGATGTTTTCCCGTGGAAGGGTTCTTGAAGCGTCCCCTGCCCGGCACCGCCGCTCCCGGTGTGGGTGGCGAGGGGACGCGGCTCGCTGTCGCGGTACTCTGGGGTCTGTGTTCGTGTCGCTCTTTCTGTGGCTGTCGCTGGCTGCGTCTGGCCGTCTGTTTCTGCTTGAGCAGCGAGCTATGTGTTAGCGGTGATGCAACCACTGGGTTGTGGCTTTTTTTTTTAATTATTTTTTATTTTTTGAAGGAGGAGCTGGAGTTAGATTATAATGATGCCTCTTCCCCCCCCCCATCACCCCAGAGAGCTTTTGGGAACGTGTCTTTCCTAGGGCAGTGATGCTCAGACCCAGGGCAGGACCCGGGAGCCCGCAGGATGCACTGCAGCCATCGTGGTCCTCGGGCAGGGAAATTCCCTGCAAGGCAGCTGTGCCGTAGTTAGCTCCGAGTCGAGTACGTGGGTACAGGCTTCTGGTGCTGCCGTTTGGGAATGGTGACAGGTGAAGAAATTCAGGGCTGTAAAGTGCTTGTAGCTGTAACACAGGGTTGCGTTACCCTTTCCCATTAAAATGGGACAGCTCTGCAGCATTGTACAAAATCAGGTGTGCACGCTTGAGTGTAGTAACTGAAAACCACTGAATATATTAAGGCTTTTGGTTCAATGCCCATGCTGGGCATTCAGAAATTGAAGTCTAGACTGTGGTATATAAATCTTCTTCAAGCACGTGAAACACTGGTACTCACTGATAGCCGTTACTTCTGATTTTTAGCTACGTGCTGTGTGGAGATGAGTTAGGATTCAAGGAAAACCTTTACATCAAGAGCTGGATTTCTTGATAAAAGTCGCTGTGGGCCCAGCAGCCATGTTGTGTGTTCCCCGTACGTTGTTGCTCTGGGGTAACACCTGACTCGGCTGTGCCCCCCTCGCTCTTCGCCCCGTGCTTCCTTAGGCTACAGCCCTCCTCTGAGTTTGCCCACCCTTCGAGCACGTTGATGCTGCAGTGGGGACAACTCTAGGAGACGTGGATCTCCAGGCAGGTGCTAACTGGAGATGTCTTTGCCCGTTTGCGCGTGGTGGAACGTGTGGCCGTGATGTTTTACGGGGGATCAGTGGCAGAGTACAGAGTCGGCAATTAAAGGCAGGGTTTGGCATGAACTAGGTGGAGTGAGATGGACAGAAGCTGTTGCCCAGTCTGATGACGGTGTCTTGTGTGACACGGGGCCGGCGGTGGCTTCCCTGAGCGGGTGGACGGGATACCTACCAGTTCTTGCTTTGCCAGAGCCCCGCAACAAGCAGGAACGTACAGAGTACCATGAAGTTCTTCCTCACTGCTTTTGGCCTACGAAGCAATATTTAACTCTTACAACCTGTAAAAGCAAAAAGAAGGTACATAAGGAAAGCACAAAGCACAAAATAATGCACTTACATTTATGTTGTTTGACATAAAATGCACTGGGGGGGAAGCTGATGTTGATAATAGTATAAATACCTATATTTCTTGAAAAAGTGACATTAATTACTGCCTCTTGCTATGATGCTTGGTACTGTAATGTTGATATTCATCTGCTGTTGACTGCAGCAATAATTTGTGTATGGTCCATAGCACTGTAAATTATGGATCAATATTAATGTATCCAATGAAATAATTTGAACTGTTGTTCTTGATAGATGGATTAAAGCATTTGGTTTTTCACATATGTCTGTGTAAGCCATTCGTTTTCTGTGTAAGTGAATCTTGTTTTTCTGTGCGTTTGAAGTCCCGGCAGCGCTCCGTGTTTGTGACTTGGCAGTGGATGTGTCCGTGTGCCTGCCCCGGTGCCCGTCAGCAGCTGTCCGGTTGTGTTCGTATTGCGGCAGCACGGGGGGACGGAGCTACGGATCGGACCCACTTGGGCTTTGCAGACGCACACCCAAGCGGACAGACCCGGAGTTTACGGTCCAGCGCAAGGAACAAAACAGGACATGGAAAAGTGGCGTTGCCTCTCTCCCCTCCTGCGGGCTCTTGCATTTTGCCTCCCCCCTTCTCAAAGGGGGGTCAGCCAAACCACCCCCGGCTGCGTTGCCCTTTGCCTCCCACCAGCTGCCCGGGGTCAGGCACGGGCTCGGTGAGCCCTCGGGGTACCTACGCCTCTTTGCCATGCTGTAACTCCTGCAGGGTCACCTCCCCTCGGCAGTCCTACGCAGAAGGACCTCGCCGCCGCCGCCTCCAGCTGAGCTGCGCACGGAGAGACCCCGGTCCTCGCTCTGCTCGCCCCCTCGGCCGCTCCTCCGAAACCTCCGCTCTCCTAATGCACAAAGAGCTGCTCCTGGATTGTGCCAGGACCTGCAGCTCATGCTGGTTAGGAACTTGCTGGGGCCTTGTTTTGTCTTCCCGTCTTCATTATTTTTCCCTGTCTCTCTGTTGCTTTCATCCCTTCTGGTCCTGTTCTTCGACAGGCTGTTGCTTTTACTCACGGTGTGGAGTCCTCGCCGTCTCTGTGGACGTTGCTGCAGCAGCGGTGGTGGTTACTGCGTATTATCTCACGGGTTTCAAGCCCTGAATACAAACAATCTTTTGGCCTGTGTCTTGAAAATCTGATACCTGTTAGGAGTAGAAAATACCTAATTCAGTTGCAATTAAAAATGACTAGCTGTCCTGCATCACCCAGTTTAAAAACCAACCAAACAAAAAACGCTACCGGACTCTGCTAAGACTACAGCAGAAAAGCCCTGCTCCCTCTTTGAAGAAGATACCAGAGTTAAAGCTTGTGAGTGATTCCGGCAGGCTTTGTAACGCTGTTTCTTTAGAAATTTAGCACGGTGTTGGAATGTGGCATTGTAGTACTGCAGTAGGAAATGTCTTTATCAGCAGCCTAGGATATAATTTCTAATTTGAGTTTTTAAGATGTATTTTGGCTTTACCTTTAGCCAGTTGTGCCAGCGCTGCATTTTGGGAGTGAATTTCTTGCTGTCGGTGGGAGCAGCTCCAGGTTTCAGCTGGGTTGCAGAACCCAGGAGGAGCAGGGAGAAAACCTGTTGTGGGGGTAATGGCTGTCAGCAGTTGCTCAGTGTGCGGTAGCAGGTCTGCTTATAAGCCTTTGAGTTCCTTTGGGCGAGCCTGAAGAATTCTGTGCAGGGTAAGAAAGTGGATGTTAAAAATAAGGCAGCTGACACCTGGTAGGGTCTGGTTTGCTGGAAAGCCCCGTGGCTGGGCTGCGGGACGCGGTGGCACAGCAGGACCCTGCTACCACGATCGTGCTTTCCTCGCAGGGAGATGTACCTGGAGCTCGGCAGCGATGCCGGGAAGGAGACGGTGATCGCGCTGCCTCAGCCGGATCAGCAGCCGCTGCTCCTTTTGCGGTTGCAGCTGGGGGTAGTCCCGGCACTGAATGGTGGTCATACTCCTGTTTCTCCAGCTCCTTTGAAAAAGTACCTGTTTAAAATTGCATCGGAATGGCTTGAAAAAGTGTCCCTGACTTCTTAAAATCAATAAGGCTTAATGTGATGCTGGCTTGCAAGTTAAATGCATGCGCACTGAGCACCGCCGTTGTCTTTGCCGGCGATCCGAGGGGCAGCCTTACTTGCAGCTGCTCCGTTTATAACTTTCTGAGACTGACTCTCTTAATGGGCGTGTGTCGAGGCTCATGTCTCCACCATGGCCTGAAGGTCCAGTTTCTTCCTTTTTATGACTTTCTCACCTAGATCACGAGGAAGCAGGAGGGCTTCTGTCAAACTCCAGCAATGCTGAACGTGGGTGGGTGCTCTCGTTTGCGATTCCTGGGAGACAAAGCAGCTCCCGCCCCTCGTGCTGCCATGCTTTTACCCCATCCTTGCGCTTCCTGGGGCTGAGGCACCGTTGTGCTCTGTGGTCGTAGAGGGAAACAATGGTTCCTGTGACAGACCTGCATTAAATGCTGTCCAAGAGCTGTGTGAGGCAATGAGAAGGCTGTTACGGTCAGTAGGATGAGCCAGGGCATGCTAACAATCTAAATATTGATTGCTCTTTTAATGTGTTTATAAAAATCACCATGGGGATGATGTACACAGTTGCATATTGTGGATACTGTCTCGAAGGAGCTATGGGAGAAATCCTTAAATGTCCTGATGCATCTGCTGTGGGCCAGAGGACCCGCAGAGGGTGTCTGGGCTGGCTGTAGGGCACCGTCAGAGGCTTTGGGAGCTGGGCACGGCCCATCAGTGATCTCCTTGCTGTAGCCATCGGTAGGCTAGCTACAATTATTTGGGAGGGAGGGCAAGCGCCTGGCTCTGGCACAAGACCCGGCATCTGATCGTGGTGCTCATCCCACGGGATCAGGCCGGGTGCTGGCAGGGGGGTGCCAGGCCCCCGGGATGCGCTCTGGGCTCTAAGCGGGGTTCGGTAGATGGGACACGCGGCTCCGGGGGCTCTGGTCTCACTCAAACGCTTTGC